AGAGAGAGAGAGAGAGAGAGAGAGAGAGAGAGAGAGAGAGAGAGAGACATTCATCAAAAAGGAAGAAAGAAAGACTATCCCGGATAGTTTAATAGTAACAGGAACAAAGATGACGCGAACCCCATCAAATGAAACAATACTATTTTGATTCAATTGATCGCAAAGTGTCTTCAATTAATAACTTGGCACTTATTTAAAAGGTTTAACAGAGGTGAGACCGAAATATTTTGTACCGACAACACGTCATGAAATAACAGAATCTTCTTTTGTTTAAAATAACTTAATACACTAGAAAAAATATGGCAAATATAAATAATTTTGTTTTCATGGAGAACAAATAGTTACAAAGCTCAACCGCATACCAAAGTTCAGCTAAAAGAGCTTTTCCTCGTTCTTGTATAAGGGATTAAAAAAAAAAAAAACCCAAAAAGTAAGGAGGCTTTTTTTAGAGAATTGGGATACAGATTGCTTAGTCCAGGGTATCCCAGTTTAAATAGCTACATGAATTGAGACAAACAAAAATATTACTTGAATATACATCCTTGTGAGATAAAATGCAAATGTTGAAAGTCAACTATCAGTTCACACGTTATAGCCAAAATAAACTTTGTTCGTGTTTATCAACATATTTTACACAAACTTAGTGCCTGTATCTATCTGGGTGTTGTTTAAAGTGAGTGTGATGGGACAGAGAGGGGGAAATAAAGCACGGTCCTCAAATAGGACTTTAGGAAATCTGCAAGAGGGAATACAAGAAAAGGGGGAGGAGAGGGGACTTAACACTGAGCGCCCACTATGTATCAGGCACCACGTGAGGCGCTGTACCTTCACCGTTCCATTTATCTTTTCTTTTTCCTTTTCTCACATTTTCTACCTGCCTCTGTTGTCTTGGGACAATCAGAGTGTAACTTTTTTGCCCTTCAGACTTTTTTCTTTTGTCCCCCAGCATTAAAGACGGGACAAAAATAAATATAGATAGAAATATATATATATCAATTTCCAGATGCTTTGGGTATTGTTTTTATACTGAAAATGAAAATGGAGTTAAGTGCATGTAAGTAAAGCGGGGGAGGGGGGAGACACCATCAATGGAATACAAGTAACATGCAAACCGGAATTTACTGTCAGCAGTCTGGACAGTTCTGCCATAATAATTTTCTCAGAGAAATCATCGTCTGTGGTATCATTTTTGTATTAATATTTTTTCTCTCCTCGTTTTTATACTGTCTTCCCTCTTCTTGCTCTTCCATACTGGTGGTTTTTAACTCAAAGCACCTGATTCAACGTAAAAGGAGGCCCGCCTCTCTTATCAAATTTCTTGTATTAAAGTGAACTTCGCAGAAAAAGGTCAGTTTCAAAACCTGTGAACTTCCCAGCTGCGTACATTTTTTTCATCTTAATTCTTTAAATAAGTATACCTCTTCCTTCTGTTTTGCCTTCTTAGCCCATTTTAAAAAACATACACTTTAAGTTGGTAACTCCCCCCCCCCACCGCCGCCCCAATTCTCTCGAGATTCGTCCAGGTTCTTTTTCCATATTATTTAATGTACAAAATACTTCAAAATTTTTTTTTTTGTTCCTTGGTTCTCTCTCCGATTTCAGCTTCTGACGAATAGCAATAAGTTCCCTTTCTCTGTTTATCTCTGGTTTGTCTTTTCTACTTTTTTTCCCCTCATTTTTTATTAACAGGATTTTTATTTCTACGCAAGAGTCCATCGTCGCAGTTCTGCCGTGAGCTACACACTCCGCTGTCCCAGCACTCCCTTGTCCAGTCTCTCTCCAGACCTCCCAAACCCAGCCCTACAAAGCCAAATTCTGGGCCCTTGGGTAGGTGAATGGTCAGAAGCCACGGAGCTGGTGCCCTTCTTGGGATCCCAGGTCACGCCCTCCGAGTCCGGGATGCGGAATGGGGCAAGGGGCAATCAGCGGGCGGAAAGAGGCTCGGCTCCCGAGGTCCGGAGCAGGTAACGGAGAAGCAGCGGGGCTCGGAGGGCGTGCAGGCTGCGCGCCGCGCTGCAGGCGCGACGTTGGCGCTGGCGTTGGCGTCACAGACCCAGGGCGGCCGCGTGCTTTTTGGCTTTCAGTCTGAGATCCGCGATGCTGGAGTTCTTGCTGGTAGTCTTGGCGGCAGCCGCGGCGGCCACGACGGAGGCGGCAGAAGCTGAGTCCGCGGCCAGCGTGGCGAGCGGCAGTCCGAAGGGAGGCGCGGGGAACATCATGTAGGGCGCGTGCGCGGCCAGGTGCGGGTGCAGGTGGTGGTGCGCGTGCGCCACGGCGCTGTCCAGCTGCAGCTGCGCCTGAACCTGAAAGGACAAGGGCGTCACGTTGCAATGACTATCCTAGGGTGACAACAGAATAGAAACAGAGCATTAACGGCGTCCAGCTTAGCTCGGGTAAGGCTGGGGCAGGGGACGGGAAAGGGGCATTTGGCTGACCTTATCAGTCTGTTACTGAATCTGGGGCGCCACAGGGATATTCCAGTGACCCTGAGTCTCTGCAACTAGCTCAGTGTGGCCTATCCCCTTGAGTCCCAGGGACTCCCGTCTGCAGGAATTGTGGCCGCCCCCTCGGGAGCTGGGTCTGTCAGAAGGCGACATTACTATTGTGCTAATACATCACCCTCCTGAAAATAACAATGTATATTGGACAGACGACGGGATGAGGGTCATTACCCTCCTCTTTTGATGCTGTCGTACACCTTTTACCCTGCTACTAAAACACTGAAGTACCATTAAGCAAATTACAAAACTTTTAAATGTCACCTAGGGAAGTTGTTGCATCTTCATCACAACTGGCACAATTGTTAGTACTTCTAACATTTACTGCTATTAAAATTACCTTGAGATCTTGTTAAAATGTGGATTCTGATTCAGAAGGTCTAGTGTAGGGCCAGAGATTCTGCATTTCTAACAATCTCCCAGCTGATGCTGATGCTGCAGACTAGGAGATCACCTTCTGAGTAGTGAGGGTCTCCTTTTAAGATTCCCCTCTCTCTCCAGTCATTCTCTCTTGCTTCAGAAGCCTAGCATCAGGATACCAGAATCCAGTGGTGCCAGGAGAGCTAAGAGTTAGCTAATACTAACCCTCAATACACAGGTGCAGCCAGGTGTCTCCCCCGACCAGGACACTGGCATCTCAGAGTTAATTCATGACTTCACAGTCCTACGGAGCAGGGGTCCTGGCCATGGGGAAGGTCAGGCACTGGTTGGGAAAGGATTGCACCCTTAGGCTTGGAGAATGGGGAGTTCAGAGCACTGGGATTTCCCAGGATTAAATCATTGCTGCAGGCTGTACTTTAAAAATATAGTCTTAAAGGTTTCTGTATGGCTAAGAAATGGATTGCAGCCGCAAGGTGTCCCTGGGAAGACCAGTGCTTCCCTCTCTACTAGATATGAAGCTTTGCAGCTTTAAAAAATCAAGTCTGAGCTGGGAGTGTATTTATTTATTTATTTGTTTGTTTGTTTGTTTATCTTTGGTCAGAGACATTTAATGTGAATAAGAGATAGAAAACATCTAGAAAAATATTTAGAGAGTTGCCTTAGAAACACCTTAGGACTAACCTCTGTACCGGATCTGACAAAATCTTACTCAGAAGGCTTTTCCTTCCTCTCCCCAAGTGCAATCTTTAGTTCATTTTTAAAGGACCCATTGCTGCCCTCAGGCCTCTGTGGGTTTCCCATGAGGAGAGAAAGGACTACGCATGTAGGCCCCTGACACTGTATAGGTTTTTAAAGGGGAGTAGGCCCACTATATCATCTGAAAATTTATCCTCTACCTGTATAGACACCTATATGGGGGCTCAGAGACAGGGGATGTTCAACAATTTCAAGCAAATAGCCAGGTCTTTTCACAGTTAAAAACAGGTTGAAACTGGGCTGTACTTGCCTGCTGAAATGGCATCCTTAAAGCACCTACATTGACGTACGGTGCTACTCTACAAGCTTCAAATTGGCTGGCAGCCCCTATGAGGACGCCTGCAAAAAATGGGGGAACAAAACACAATAAAGTGAGATTAACATGTCCAGCATTGTTTTCCAAGGTTCCAAATGGAACCAAGATAGAACTACTTCCTTTGGAATTGTACATTTATCTTCCTAAACTGCTGCTAAAATGAAAAGCAATGTAATTTACTCCCAAACTTTAGGACTCTCATTAACTGCCTTCGGAGCAGATTTTTAAATAAGGACCATAGTTATCTTTGACAAGGTTCTTTTCTGTCTTCATAATAACAACATCCCCTAATACTCTTTTTACTTAGAGTATCAAATGTTCTTTGTCTGAGAAGCATACCTTTATGCAGTTGATTCTCTTGTTTTCTACATTTAGCTCTTCGATTTTGAAACCAAACCTACAAAGTGGAGGAAAAAATAAAACCTAGATGTTATGACTCAGAGTAATGTTATAGGCAAGGATTGGGAGATATAGCAAGCAATCTTTGAATTATATACAAGAATCTTAATTTCCAAAGTTAAAAACATAAATAAATGACATAAATAGAAAGATTTCATATACTTTTGCGAGATAAGTTGTTTCTTGATAAATTACTGTAGTCCTGGTTTCATGTTTCCACAGTTAGAATCCCCAAGGCTTAAAACTCGCCCTGATACCTGATACTAAAGTGATAATGGGTTTAGATGTTTGCCCAGTAAGACCTGAGAAGAAAATGCTCATTAATAGCCTGTAATATTAATTAGTTTCATCTTCAAGAAAAACCAAACACCAAAGCAAATAGTGACTGTTTTTTGTTTTTTTTTTCCTGGGGGTGGGGGGGATAAGAGTGGGGGAAGAGGTAATTAGTGTCATAAAAGCCTCACTACAAAGAAGTTTAGAATTTCTCTGTTCCTCTGTGCAGCAGAGTGTAACATGGTAGCAGAATAATTGTGCCATTATCATGATAATCTAATTTGCTTCTATAGAAAAAGCCACTGAGTACAGTTAGGGTAGTAGAGAAGTGTCCGGAAGATAGATCAAAATTTAAATAAAGTATGAAAAAATAAATACCAGCAATGAAGTTCACTTATTATGAGAAAAAAAGAAGAACATTCTGTGAAATGGGAGTGGGGTATGAATCAAGTAACTGCTGGATACTATCTTCTCCCAGATATTACCTTCTTAGATAAACTTGCCAACTTTTAGAGGCAGTATGGCAGATTTTAAGAAATTCAAATAAAGCTTGCTTTTATACTCCAATAATATAGCATTATGTTCCAATAACACAGCATATTGACTGATTCATAAATTAATGTTAAAAACATGAAAGTAAAATATTGCTTCAGAGCTTTCTTCTTGTTTTTGAAAGCAAGTGTCACAGTCAATGGAAATCTTCAAAAATTCCCCTGCCATTTAGTGTAGTAGAAGGGTAGATTTCATGCCAGGGTTGCATCCTTTGTGTACCTCACATGGCCTGAGGCTTTTGCCTCTTTTTTCCCCTAGAAGAGTTGGAGCTGATACACTAATGCTCACAACTGTAATAATTATCATCATGTCTTTAAGGGGTTGCTAAGCCTCTAGAGATCTCAGTGCGCAGAGCAAAGTAGGAGAGGCTTAAAAAGGAAGGCTCTGCTGTTGATGCTGTGATGACCAAGGCAGCCTATTATTACTTTTCCCCTTTAAAGTGACTGCTCTGTTTTTGTCCTGATCCTATTACAAGATGCGGGGAAGCCCCATAAGAATTGCATAGTTCGCTGCAGATGGTGGTCTCTAGCCCAGAGACCTAGGGAGTATCTGTTACAGTGATACTTTGTAACAGCTGCAGATGTTCAGGCCTAAAACTGCTCCATGTGTTCAAACAAATAATGACTATCATTTTCTCCTATTTTATTATTTGAGTGGAAATACAACCTGAAACATTTAAATTCGTTTTCCATAAAACTAAAACGATATGTATGCATGTATGTATGTAATTTTTTTCCCCTTAAGCGCTCCTGAAGCCTACTTTTCCCATTACATTCACCGCCACAACCGGTAAAGAAAATCTGTTCCAATGCTAACTCCATTTAGTGTGGCACTTGCTGGGGTCAGATTTTGGAAATGTCAATATTAAGATATGTGGATTGTTTTAAAATCAAGTTTCTGTAGGTTCAGGTTCACTTCCCTGGTTAAGTGAGAGAACAAAGAGTGACCAAATGCATTTATTTCTCTGCTATTTCACACACAGTTTGAGATCAACCGCTAACGGCAGACTGTAAATTTGTGCACTTAACAGTTGCTAATTTTCTTTATAGTCTGTACATCTATAAACCTAATTGGCATATCCGCTTGGCAAACCTAGATCCCAGAGCAGACCCTCAAGGAAACCCAACTCCGCCGAACAAAATATTCGTTGTAACTTTTAAGGCATCCAGAAGATAAAACGTTTTCTGTGGGATTTTTTTAAGGCTTATAAAAGTAGGCCCATTAGGATTAAACCACATTAAAGGCATCGAGAGGCGAGGGTCGGGGGTGTGGTTTATAGAAACTCTGGGAGCAAGCCCAGCACAGCTTTCTTCTGCTGGGAACATATGTTGGGATGAGGCGGGGCGGTGGGGGGAGCACGGGAAGGCTTTAAGACCAAGATCTACTTTGGAAAATAAGACCTCTAGCAGAGACGTCGCTTCCCTTCTCACCTCACTCCAGACATTTGGACCCACACCCTCGTCGTGTGTACCCCAGGCATGCCCCTCCTCTGCTCCCCGCGACCTCCTCACAGGCGGGTACCTGCACTCGGGCCTCGGACAGCCCCAGCCGTTGGCTCAGTTCTTCACGCATAAAGGCGTCCGGGTAGTGAGTCTCGTCAAAAAGCCTCTCCAGCTCGTTGAGTTGTTCCAGGGTGAAATTGGTCCGACTTCGCCTCTGCTTGATTTTGGTCTGGCCTTCGTCCTCCATCCCTTTCGCATCCTCTTTGCGATCCTTCGGCTCCGGGGACACTGGAGGGGGCACCACGAACAGGACCGCACACGTACGTCCACGCGCGCACACAGCAACACACACACACACACACAGAGACAAAAACAACACAGCAAATGCCATTACCAGATCTGTCTCCAGAAGGATGGAGGATCCTGCCCCCTCCCGGAGTTCCTGTCCAGTTCCTCACCCGGCTGCGAGGAAGAGGATCCTGGAGACGCGAAAAGATCAACTCTGGGCGGCCGCCCGCGGGCAAGGTGGGCATTCACCCACGCATCCCTTTTGCAACTGTGGCCTCAGCTCACCTCCTCACTATTCAGCCCACAGTCCCCTGCCCTCCCCCGAGAACACCAAATCAATTCCACTAACCCTCTCTTGCATTCACTCTCTCCCACTCGCGCACAAAAACCAAAAGAGCCGCACCGGGCGGGTCACAGAACGAGATGCTGGCAGGAGAGCGCAGCGAGGCCACGGACTGGCCTCTTACACCGGCCATTCCCAGAGTGCTGGGCCGTTGTCAGGCCAGCAGTGGCCGCCGCCGGCTCTCTTGTCTCTCTCAAACTTGCTGGTCTAATTTGGGAACAATTGGGCTGAAGGATCACAGCCGGAGGACAAGACCCCGGGGCCGCATGGCGGGAGCCACTTTCCCGGGCGCTCTCTGCGGACCCAGGGCTTGGACCAAATCCCGCGGACGGCCCACGGACAGTCAGGCAGTCCCTGTCCCCCCTGCCGAATCCCAGTTGCCTGAGCAGAGGCGCCCACGCCATGTTGGCGGCCTGAAGGGCTCGCTGCCCACACCCGGCCGGAAGGCCAGAGGTGGAAAACCAGCTTCGGGGAGCCAGCGAAACAGACCGCTGTCTCTTTCGCTCCTTTCTCCCTCCCCATTGGAAAGGCAGACGCGACCCTGAACGCTTAAACCCACAGAGATCAACAGGTTCAAGCGGAACATTCGGGATCCTCGGTTTCTATTGGTTGCTCAAAGCCTTTTCATGCATCCAGCAGCTCGGATGTTTAATAAAATATGCATTTTTTCTGCTCTAGGTTTGCACACATCCGTTGCCACTTTCCTGTCCTTCCTTCTCCTCCCTTTAAAAACAGGAGCTCCACGAGTGTGAGCATACAGGGACACTAGAGGGATGTGGAGATATATATATATATTTAGGCCAAGGGACCGTGATCAGGGGAGCCAGGATCAACATAAGCTGCCCTCTGGAACCTTCAACCTCTGCGCCTGAGTTGGAGACTTGGGTTTTTAAGGTGCAAAAGCTGAGTTTGGATAATCGAGGCTGTTTGCAGTTCTTCCCAGCCCAGAATCCCGATCAGCATGGGTGTTAAAAATCATTTCCAGAAGAGCCGGCCTGCAGACAAATTAATATTTGCCCTGAGCTTGGAAATCAACAATCCCAGGACTTCGTTTGCCCACGGTTCAGACCCTAACTTCGTGGGGGGTGCCTGCTGGTGTACCCAGGGCCTCGAGCTGGGGACTCAGGCCCCGGAGGGTGCACTGGACCGCCTGACAGTTATGCTACCACTTTCCAAATTTAGGAGTACTTGGTACCCCGTCTGGGAGAAGAACCTCTAGAACTCAGCCCAGCTTGGCATTCTAGTTACCGTGATCTTAAGTGTTTCCCGCATATCTACTTCTCAAAGTTTGTGTTGTGGACGTTTGTCCTTCCTTAGGGAAGAAGTGGATACATTATAGCACAAACTGAAGCCAAGTTAATAGGAAAATATTTCCACAGATATTGCAATGAAATTTAAATATGAAAACACATCTTTCAGATTCTGTCTTTGGCTTTGTTTATTTCATGCCATCCACAGTGGAAGCCTCTCAAACTTTTGGGGCTTCAAAGAGAAAGATGTCCACATTTACAGTTGATTAACAGACTTAATATAATCCCTATTTTGCCCCCAAATTTCCACTTATTGGCCTAAACAAGAACAGACTGTTATAAACGACTTAATTGCTTGCTTAAATATGTGATTCTAAGCATGCCACATATTTCCTTAATTGGAAAAATATGGCAGCACACCAGTTACTGCAGGCACCAAGTGCCAAATTAATTTTATTGTTGAACTCCTTTGAATTGGTACAGGACGCTCCACCGTTTAGAAAAAGGCTTTTCCTAACACTTTCCTGGCACCAAAGGATTATCCCACCACAAAATCAGAGTACTGGATGATGCGACGCAGTAAAATTTCGAAAAACAAACAAACAAACAAAAAAGGAGCCTAACGCATCTCCCGAAAGAAACAGGTCACAGCCTGAACCTTAGCCTGCCTTGGTCTCATTCTACCTTCACAGCTCTAAGAAAATGGGAAGTTTGGGGCCCTAAATTCCAGGCAGCCAGGGTCTTCGCGGAGTTAGCGGCGGCACGAAATCCGGGGCGACTCCAGGGTGAAATCCCAATCAATCTCTCTGTCTCTGTATCTCTGTCCCCTTTCTCTCTTTTTCTTTTTTTTCTCGGGCCTAGGAAAGGGGCTCCCGCAAACTCGGCGCTAGATGCTAACTGTAATCCCGCCGCCTGGCCCAGCTAGTGCCAGCACCCTCTTTCGCAGCCCGGCCCAGCGAACTTCCCCATCCGCCTGCGGGCCGTCTGGGCTGCGGGCCCATCCTCCCGTTGGTGAAAATGCGTTTCGGTGGAATGGGAGTAGCGGGAGCATCTGAGAAGGGCGCGCGCAAACCCCACACGCCCCCCCCTCCCCGCACACACATTCGGACCCCACCCACGACCGTGCACACCATCGGACTCCCACCCCTCCATCCTCACTCCAGCTTCCAAAGCTGGGGTCCAAGAGCCCTCTCCGCGTCCCGCCCCCCTCCCCGCTGGGCCTTGGTGTCCTCTCCCGCCCGAAAGGAGTCAGGAAGGCGGGAAGGGGAACCGCGGCCGGGGGTCAGGCCGTTACCCTCGGTGAGCCGCGGGCTGCCCGGCTCCCTGCTTCTCTCGGCGGCGCCCATGTCCAGCTCCCGGACGGGAGAGCGCGCTCCTCCAGCTCCTCCGCCCGCTCCTCCTCCTCCTGCACCTCCTCCACCTCCTCCACCTCCGCCTCCGCCTCCTCCGCCGCCGCCGCCTCCGCCGGCCGCCCGGACTGCGGGACTGCTGCGGTCGTCACGGCCCGGCTCCGCGCAGCCGGTCGGCTCCTTGGCCCCGCGCAGCGGTCCGCTCTCCAGCACCTCCCGGTACGTGATAGCCTCCTTCTTCTCCTTCACTTTCTGGTCAAAAGACTTCGAGACGAACGCCGTAAGTTCTTCCATCGCCGCCAATGCCCGTCAGCCCCGCGCTCAACGTCTCCCAGCCGAGCCCAGCTCTTTTTTTCCTTCTTCTTTTTTTACTGCTCCAGCCCCCCCAATAATAACACATCAATGGGACAGGGGTGGGGGAGGAGTGGGAGGAGGAGGAAGAAGAAGAAAAAGAAGAGAAGAAAGAAGAAAGAGGAGGAGAAGTAGAAGGAGAAAAAGAAGTAAGAAGAGGAGGAGGTGAAGGAGGAGGAGGAAGAAGAGGAAGAGGGAAGGGGCGGGGGCCGCGGGAGGGAAATGGGAACTGATGCTTCCCTGCCGGAGCGCGCTTGTTCAATGTTAAGATCTTTGACAATTCTTCCTGCAGAGAGTTCAGATCTGATAGCAACGCAGCGCTTGAAGTCTCACTATTTATACTTCGCAAAGGCGGCCCCTTGTTCTGAGTAAATTACCTCCCCTTCGCAACTCGGAGGGAGACCCTTCACGGGAAGCACCCGCGCCACTACCTGGGGGTGGGGGAGTGGGGGTTGGGAGGTGGGGGTGATAGGGAGAGAGGGAGAGAGGGAGGGGGAGGAGGAGGGAGAGAGAGAGAGAGGGAGAGAGTGAGAGAGAAAGAGAGAGAGAAAGAGAGAGAGAAAGAGAGAGAGAGAGGGAGAGAGAGAGAGAGAGAGAGAGAAATTAAGATTGATTAAGGCTGGAGTACAGGGGCTGGAGTGTGAGTGAGGACAGCGAAGGGGGACCAGAGGGAGTGGGAAGAAGAGGCAGACAGTCCAGGTTTTCAGATACCTCGGCCGCCTGCGCTCTTGGCCATTAATTCAGGATGACAAGAATCCATAATTAATTTAATTAGGCGTGGATTTTGCGTTGGTGTCACGGCTTACTTAAACACTAGGGAGCTGGACTTATTCCGCCGGGGCGTGGTCAAAAGGAAACTGACAAGTGTGCGACTCCTGGAGTCAATAGGGTATCCCGACTTGGCATCCGACCCTATGTCCTCGCCGGGCGTCAGGGTGCAGCGCAACTGCTCGGCCCCGCATTGTTGCCCGGCAACCCTGCCCTGCATCAGGCGCCCGGGACCCCAGTTCTGTATCCTGACCCGGTATCCCGATCCTACATCCCTACTACCCCGACCCGAAACCTTGTAGCCTGGCATCCTGGCTTCACAACCCTGCCGAGTCAGGGTCCTTTCCAGTTTCTCAGGCGAGCGCAGCTCCTTTCAGGGGCTTCCGGGCCCGCGGCCAGAGCTGAGCCTGGGTCTTCACCAAGCTCCCTGCCCCGGGGAGATTGTGATTCACCCCATTATTCGCGTCCTGGAGACGGAGCCGACTCCTCTACGGACAAACCGTGCTCGAAGTGGCTGGTTTGTTTAACACATTTCCCGAGCAGCTGTTCCCTGACAGATTCCATTTTAAAGTGTTTCCTTAGCGCTTGGTCAAGGACAGTTTGACTTCGTTCCCTCTTTGAGGTCTCAGGACCCTCACCCTTCTCCCTTACTCTTTGCACCCGGACCCCTCCCACAATGAACTACAGAAACTCTTCTTCAGCATCCCGGGAAATATTCTAATTGATCTCCTGATTTTGAAAAGAAAATGATTATCCCTCTTTGAGTTTGAAAAAAAATCGATGTTAAGTTTGTGGCCCATCTAATTTATGTACCGTGGATTATTAAAAAAAAAAAAAAACCTCGCCGGGAGAAAAGCACCCCCCCCTCAAGCTACGATTTAAAATATATTCCTGGACTATTTACATCGAAACTGTTATATGGAAGGACACATCTATATTCCCGCGTCATTTGTCCGTATTGTGCAGGACAAAGCTTGCTGTGAGAATTGTGGCCGTATATATACCCCTCACATAAGAATATTTACATATGAAAAAAATATTTACATATGGAAAGTTATATTTACCTGAGTGTGTAAACAAATATACCTCTTCAAGTGTGGCTTTGGGGACATTTTTGAGTAGTCTGAATATTAATGCAGTCTTTCTGACGTTAAAGGTAACTTGTTCGTTTTCTTGGATCTTATATTCTTTGTAAAAATAAAAGCAATTATAGAACTTTGATTCCTATATCTTCCACCCATTGGTTAAGGCATTAACACAAAGTTAACAGATAATTTGAGAAGTTCCATCAAAGCAACTGAAACGTGTAAAAAGAGAACACAATTACAACTTAATACATTAATGTTTCTAGAATGTATGTAAATAGAAGCTATACGTAACTTTGTCATACCACAGTACTCAGATTAAAATATTCAGTTAGTGAACTTAATGAAGATGGAAATCACACTCTTTAGAACTGTTACTTTGCCTTTTTTCTCTTGAATTCTAAAGTTTTTTTCTTCTTAAAACATTTATTTCATTTATTGCTACTTTTAGGAAAAACAAGATCTTTAAGTTTCCAGTATCAATAGCTTTTAGGTATCAGTAAATTACACGAGTGTTTGCTTTTTATTACACTACAAGAGACTCAAAGTACTCACTTTTCAAAGTTATATGAATTTAGAAACATGATTTTACAGTTAGTCTTGGGTTACTATTTGTGACCACTTTACTCCTGATATTATTAGAGGGGAATAACCATAAAACTTTAATCCTTTATGAAAATCCCTTTTTAAGGTTATTTAGCAGAATGACAAATAATGGGATCAGCTAAATGGATGTGGTGCTCAAATAGCTCTCAAACTGAGGTGTTAAATGTATATTCACAAACAGCTCCAAAAACAGCCACTATTAAAAGTATGGTAAGGGATCAGGAGGCTCACCAGCCACTTTTTTTGCCTTTTCAAGCACATGACTTTTAAGTCTGAACTCAAAATCCATCTACTAAGCTTGAGGGAAAGATGAACACTTTAAAGTTAATTAGGGAAGGCTTGGATACAATAGTTGTATAATTCACACGAAATAGATTTTCCCATAGATTTTTCTGGCGCGTTGCTCTTAGTATATTTACAAATAGTGGCGTTCCTATGAGATGGAGCTAAGAGAGATCTGTAGTATCTAACCACGGATTCCTACTGGCCTAAGGAAAGTTTAGTTTAAAAAAACCCCACCAAACCCAGGTTTTAAAATCATATACTAATAAATGCTCACCAAGTTCTAATGATGTTTCTTTAAATAGCAAATATTTTCCGAGGACAAGACATTTCAAAATGCATTTCTGGTAAAAACAAACAAACGAACAAAAAAATTGAGAGTAAAGTTCAGTTGACAGCCTGCAGACAGATATACAGTTTCCAATAAAATTCAGGACCCCAAAGGTTCATTTCCACCGCCCACTCCCCCACCGGCTCTTGAGTTATTTAAAATAAACATGTAGTACTGTAGTTAAGCTTTAAAATGGTTCCTGAAAACAGGTTAGTTAAGGTACAGTCACTTATGAGAAATAAAATTGTGGAGGTGGTTTTCTCCATCTCAAATGTCTGTGGAAAACTGTAGCTTGGGTATACAGCAGTTGTGAACGAGTTGGTTCTCACAGTCGACCCAAACCAAGGCCAACAATTTACCTCCTTATCGATGCTTACTTATAGTAAATAAGAAAAAAATGATGTTCACGCAAGGACATAAAGTCGTATGAGTTACAGAAAATGCTGAATTGCTTTCATTTGTATTGGTTTAAATAACAACAACAAAAACCCCTACACATTTAATTTATTTTCCAGAAGAAACCTCCTTTCACTGCCTCGGGCAGTTTTCTCCTATTCCGCAACCAACCAGTTACTTTAACGTGAGAAAAAAATTTGCGCCCAACCTGTGCCTTCACCTTCAGGGCAGAAGAAACGCCGACTTTTAATGCATTTTTGCAAATAAATCATTACAATTTAATCACACACGACTCTGACGCTATACAGACACACTCCCATGATTTATTATTGTTGGGCCAGTTTCCTCCTCTCCCAGCGTGAGATAATCGATTTTGCTACGTGTGGTTGTCTATATAACTTCCTATAATGCAGATTGGTTTACTGATTATCTGTGACGATAACGACGGTTACTAAGGCAATAATACTTTTCAGTCCCCACCTTTATTGCTTTTTGGTAACAAGGAACTCAAATAATCAAGCAAGCAAAACCAACACCAAACAAAAAATTGGCGGCGTGACAATCTACTCCCTCGGCACTCCTAACGCCTGGCAGCCTCCATCGATGCACTCGAAAGCTCGGCTGACGCTGCCTGGCGGTGAAACCAGGAAGGCGGTGAGCTTAAACTGAAGTAAGTTCTGTGGACGCCGGCGGCGCCCAGATTTGAAGAAACGTTTCCAGATCTGCGGCGCTTGTAAGTCTACGGGAGGTGTAAGCCCGAAGGCCGGAATCCAGGTGATGCCCGCGTCCGGGGCCTGAGAGGCGGCGCCTGCAGCCGAGGGTTTCCGAGGCCCTACTCCGGCTTGAGGCGGCGCGGGCCTGGCGTAGTCTGTGTACGGGAGGCAGCTGCAGCGGCAGCTGCGGGGGGTGGTGGGGGTGGTGGGGGTGCTGGCCCGGCGGCGTGCCGAGCGGCGTAGTGCGCAGGCGCCTCGCACCTGGAGGAGTCTGACCTTTGAGGACCAAGCTGGGGCCTTAGGGGGGTGGCAGCTATCGGGTGGTACGTGGTCGCAGGCCTCAGGCTAGGCCCTGAGTCTCGAGGTGGTGAGGGAGAGTTAGCCACCTGTTTTCCGCCTCCGTTCCTCAACACCTCTCGCACCCCTACCCACACCACCAGTCCCTGATCCTTGATAGCTGCTTTTGGGTTTCTGGGTTCGTCTTGTAAGGGGTGACCGGTGCTTCGTCACTAGCTATAGGTAGGGTGGAGCGTGAGGCAGGCTGCAACCTGGCGTACTCTGTCCCACCCACTACGTTGTCTCTACTTTAAATCCGCCTCCCCTTCCAACTCCGCCCTCCCTCCCCCGCCCCTCCCCCACCGCCACTTCCTCCTCCCCCTCCCTCACGCTCGCGCGCTGAGAGGAGAGAGAGTGCTGCGTGAAATACACTTTCCTTCCTTAACAAATAAATATACTCGCCTTAAACGCTCATCTGTTTTCTTGACTTAAGGGCTTGTGGCCTTGTGGTCATAGCCCAAGAGCATATGGCTACCCTTAAACTGTTTCCTTTGGTGAGAGGTTATAATGCACTGTTATACATGTTGCCTGCTTTTGATTTTAGGTCATCCTTAATTTCTCTTTTAGAGGTTGTATATCTTTAAATGCACAGTGGAGGCCAATTTCTTTTTCTTTTTTGCATTTTCAGAATTAGCAGTAACATTTGTATTTCAACTAACTAGGTACTAGGTAGTTAAATAAATTAAAATGTCTCGTGGTCACAAAAAAGTATTCAAGTTGTCATCTTTGGTCTTAACCATAAAAGCTCTAAGTGAAGGAGGTACACAGAGTTTTCAGGTTTAAGGATTGGAGCAGCTATGACAGGTGCAACCCTGTGAGGAAACTGGGTGTCCTTTGAGAGCCCCGTTAGCCCTAGGGTCTATAAATATTCACTTTATTTGCAGACACAGGAGATTTCCTGCTAAGTGATAGCACTTTATTACTGTATGTTCTTCAATAAGAGGGCTAAGAATGTTTGAAACTGAAAAAGATAAAGGCAGCTGGCACCTGTTAATTGGCCTTACCAACTTGACTAGTCTCAGCAGAGTTGTGTTATGAATTGGAATACTTGTGTAATAAGATTGTTGTATTAGATGTATAGGTATATTTTCTGCCTTCATTTTCACACCAGTGGGAGGAAATTCGTATGACTGATAATGTTTTTTTAAAAAAGATGCTAGTCTGCATATTTTTAGTTGTGCTGTGAGGAGTGTTTTGATAATTCTGTATCTCTTGAGTTTTGCTTTATTTTGCTCATTAAGCTAGAATTTTACCTTAGTTCTTTTATTGCCTTGGGTGGTTCTCTGCTTGTTTGTGGATTTCTTCCTATGCTAAACGGTGTTAACCCCGTTTTTACTTTTCTCTACCTCTTTGAGGTGGAATTCCCATTGAAATGACTGTTCCTCGCCCCTCCCCTTTGGTCATGTGTCCAAGATCAAAAAGATTATAGTTTAATATACTGTGAATGAGTAGTGGTGAAATAATTATAAACTGTCATGTCCTTTAGGAATCTTTGTTCTCTCTTAACTGCCTGCTTTCTGAAAAAGATAACTGCTTATTCTACCTTTATTGATTACCAGACAAAGGAACTACTTGTGTATGCTTTTAAGCTGTCTTTTGAGTGAACACATTTTGGCTCTACATCTTCAATCGGTCACCTAAACTTTACAGTAAGATGTTTTTGTAAATTGATGTCCTACTGTAGTCATTATGTCATGGCTTCAGTTCTATAGTGGGAGTAGTTGGATATGGTTTGAAACCATGAGACTACAACCAGGAAGTAATAGAGGCTAGAGTGAGAACAGAAAACTGAGAGCCTTAGGAGATGTGTCCTTGTGTTGCCTTTTCTGCTTACAGATAGATTGAAAAATTGTTAAGTTCTGGGATTCCTAAAAATCTGTGCTCAATTCATCATTTCTCTTATCGGAAAGAGCTATTAATGGGTCTTTCCATGTGTTATACCTTACCAATGGAGTTAAATATAAACAGTTCTTCCTTACTAGGAGTGTGTGATATAGATTGACCACCATGACTTGAATGAGCAAATATATTCAATTATATGCTAGAGACATTATGGAAATCCAGAGGTAAGTATGAATCTAGGGAATTCAGTACTGTCATGGATAGAGAAGACAGTTTGTGGATCTACCTCTGATTTGTTCTTAGTGTTCACTTTCTTTTCTGAATAAATATTTGAAGTTAACTATAATAAAGAAATGCAGTGGCTTTTTGCTTTCTCTTATTGAGATTAATTATACTTCAGCATGATTTTTTGAAATGTAAATGTGTTACTTGAAAAAATATTTATAGATTTATGACAGTGATTGTTTAACTTTTTTCACCCGGTTGCTTTAAGGAAGGATTTTATATCTTCCATTAACTTTTATGAGTTAATGTAACCATTCTTCTAATATGTATGAATTATGTTATTTGAAATTAAAACATAGAAAAAATTTACACCCATCTCTCAATCTCTTTTTTGGTCACCAACAAGGTACATAATTAGATGTATGTCGTTTTCTTTTTTTCCTACTTCTTTATGCCTTCTATAGGGACTTAATAAGCTGGACAAAAATGGAGAATGGAAATGACTGTGGGTACCTTAGAGTAGTGGGTCTCACAGTTTTTAGTTTTAGGATCACTTTAGATTCTTAAAAGTTATTGAGAACCCTATGAACTTAAAAAAAAATTATTTATTTGTTTATTTACTTTGGCTGCACCAGGTCTTAGTTGTGGCATGCGGGATCTTTAGTTGCGGCATGCATGCGAGCGAGATCTAGTTTCCTGAACAGGGATCCAACCTGGGGCCCCTGCATTGGGAGTGGGGAGTCTTATCCACTGGACCACCAGGGAAGTCCTGAGGACCCTACAAACTTTTATCTACATGGGCTATATCTAGAAATATTGCCTTACTAGTAATTAAGCCAGAAAAATTTGAAATATTTATTAATCCACTTAAAAATAACAATAATAAATCCATTACTTGGTAACATAACATATTTGATATGAAAAATAGCTATATTTTCCAAAACAAAACAAACTTAGTGAGAAAAGTGGCATTATTTTTCATTTTTGCAAATCTCTACTATCTGGCTTAATAGAAGACAGTTGGATTCTTATATCTGCTTCTGCATTCAGTCTATTGTGATGAGTTTTTTGAATGAAGTATATGAAGAAAATCTGGATTCACACAGATATGGTGTTGGAAAAAGTAGTATTTTAATAGCCTTTTCAGATAATTACTTCTTTAATACTACTCCAGAACTTGACAAGTAGTTTCTTAAAGGTTGGTTGCAATGTGTTATTTGAAACTATATCAATGACCTTTTCATGCTTACATTAAAATCTATTGGTCTGGGCTTCCCTGGTGGCACAGTGGTTGAGAGTCCACCTGTCGATGCAGGGGACACGGGTTCATGCCCCGGTCCCGGAAGATCCCACATGCCGCGGAGCGGCTGGGCCTGTGAGCCATGACCGCTGAGCCTGCACGTCCGGAGCCTGTGCTCCGCAAAGGGAGAGGCCACAACAGTGAGAGGCCCACGTACCGCAAAAAAAAAAAAAAAAATTCTATTGATCTTTCTGGCACTGTGAATGGATTTTTTACTCATATATGATTCTGTGACATCATGCATTGGTCTGTTGGAAAATACTGGTTCACTGAGTTATGCATCTCTTCCAGATATTGACACCCTTCATTATATAATATTTAAAAAATTCCCATATGTTAATATCACCATTGATATCATCAGAGGAATCTTTTTTTTTTTTTTTTTTGCGGTACGCGGGCCTCTCACTGCTGTGGCCCCCCCCCCGCCGCGGAGCACAGGCCCCGGACACGCAGGCTCAGCGGCCGTGGCTCACGGGCCCAGCCGCTCCGCGGCACGCGGGATCCTCCCGGGCCGGGGCACGAACCCGCGCTCCCCGCACCGGCAGGCGGACTCCCAACCACTGCGCCACCAGGGAAGCCCTCATCAGAGGAATCTTTAAGTGCTGAGAAGCTGTCAATCTCATGGTGACAAATACATGTTATCCAACATTTTGATTTTTGCTTGAGAGCTCAAATTTTATCATTGGCAACAAATTGACACTCCTTGAAGTGAAAGACTCCCTTAATTCATTTTTGAGAAAATGTCTGTCAAATACCCAAGTCTGAATAATCATAGTCAGTTCTTTAAAATAAATAGTGTTTCAGGATAAAAGCAGCTAGTTCAACTTGTAATTCAGCTGCACAAATACTTTTCTCAAGGTAACCATCGTTCTTCAGTATGCAGCAGCAGTTATGTGTATTTCCTAATTCATCACACAGAATATTAAGATGTGTTCTCAAGGGTTGAAATTTAATAAAATTAATGACTTTTACTGCTTTATCAAGGACATTCCTAAGTGCAACTGCCTTTTTTTTTTTTTTTTAATAAACTGTGTGTTGCAGTGAAGAATTCAATGACTGCTAGTACCATTTGGCCCCATTGCCTTGATTCCCATTAAAGCACCAGCAGTTTTGCCTACCATTGCTTCTACGTTATCAGTGCAAAAGTCAATACAGTGAAAAAGGTAAATCATGTTTTAGTATTATAATAAAAATAGTTTCGACTTGTTGGATCCTCTGAGGTCTTAGGGACCCCCGGGGTCTAGAGAACCACTTTGAGAACTGCTGTTAAGCTGGAATGTAAGCTCCTTGAGGGCAAGGATTTTTCTCTCTTGTTCATTTATGTATCCCTTGTACCTGGGCCTGCTGTCATCCTGGAACTTTTTAACCTATCTCAAGTGTTAGACCACTTGTTTTCTGAATCTGGGTCATCTTTGTTCACTCTCTCCTTTTGGTAGAGCACATCCTTCAGTACCTTCCTAAAAAAGGGTGAGTGTGAGGTGTAATTTTGAGCCTTTGCATATCAGAAAATGTCTTTATTTTGATCTCATATTAGATCTATGATTGGGCTGAATATAGATTGTAGTTTGAAAATAATTTTCACTTAGAACTTTGAAGGCAAGTCACCATGGTTTGCTGTGTTGCTGCTGAGAAGCCCTGTCCTTTTATTGTGATTCCCCATTTTTTTATCTTTAGAAGTTTAGGATCTTCTTTGTATTCCTCATTTCTAAAGTTTTATGAGGTATGTCTGGTATAAGTCTTTAAATTCATTGTCCCAGGGATTTAGGGCAATTCATATCTTTCAATTCTGGAAATTTTTAAAATTATTCTTTGGATGTTTTTCTTTATCTCTTTTCTATGCTTTGTTTCTTTCTGGAATGCGTATCAATTGGATATTGGACTTCCTGGATTGATCCTCTTTTACCTTCTGTTTTTTATCTTTTTATTTTTTTACTTTTCATGAGTGCTTTGATAGTATCTTCTAAGCCTATTGAATTTCTTAGAAATTATCATTTGTTTAAATTTTAAGCTTTCTCTCCTGTTTATGGATGTTCCTCCTATTCTTGTTTGCTGGATCATCTTCTCATATATTTCTGAGGATATTAACTGATTTTTAAAAAAATTTCTGGCATGTTCCTGGTTTACTATGAGTTGCTTTTTTTTTTTTTTTCTGTTTGGCTTCTGTCTCTCATGATGAAGTCTTTCATCACATGATTGATTTTCCTTTGTTGTATAATTACTAAAAAGTTAACAAAAAAGTTTGTAGAAAGAAAGTTTACTGTGGGGAATTCCCTGGTGGTCCAGTGGTTAGGACTTCTTGCTCTCACTGCCAGGTGCCTGGGTTCAATCCCTAGTCGGGGAACTAAGATCCCACAAGCTGCATGGCGTGGCCAAAAAAAAGAAAAAGTTTACTGTGTTCAAGGTTTGGGCTTGGTTATAATACTTGCATAATACTTATGTATCTTCTTCCAGGTACTGTTTAGTTTTTGGAGAAAAGAATCCTCTATCTGAATTCTTGGATCCAAGCACACACAGGGCTACAGATTGTAGACTTTCACTTAATCCCTTTAACTTTTAGTTGAGCATCTCTCTGCCCTTTTTTACTGTGCCCCTGGACCTGGTGCTTCACTGTTTCATCATTTTTCCAAAATAAACCACCTCTTCTGCTGGGATTGGGGAATAGTAGTCACTTATCTGGGTTGGATGGCAGAGGGGACCTGGGAGATTACTTTTTTTACAGGCTTTCAACCAATTCCCTTGTTTTTTAGTTTTGTGCCTCATTGTGCCTGCTGTGGTATCTGGTGTCTCGAATTCCTGATCCTTTCTGATTTTTGCTATGTGAATTGGCTTTTCTCCTGTTGGAATTCTCTGCAGTTGCTTGATGTTCAGCTTTCTTAGCTCTAAATCCTGCATCTGTTTTTCATTTGCTAAAAATTTGTTGACATGTCTTGTCTACTGTTCGTGTTGTTTTCTCCTCTGGTCTCTTTATCCTTGTGCATTTATGCTTTTTTATCTTTTACTCTAATTTTAGTATTTGTTAAACCAGATAATAAATAAAAACTCATCTTAATTTATATGGTTATTTGTGGGTAAAGAAAATTCTTAACTGTTTAAAGGTGAAACCAAGAAAGGAAGAAAGACAGGAAATGAGAACAGTTAGATGATCACTATTACTCAATTATGTACAAATTTCTTAATGAAAATACAGACACACAGAGATATGTGGTTACATATGATATATAATAGATATATGGATATAAATATGTAAATGGATATTATATACACACATTTAAATATATATATGTATATATGTACATATATACTATATGTATATGTAGGATTTCCTAATCATAGTATTTTGAAAGCTGGAAAGGATCATGGTGATCTTATATGCAGTACAGTTTTGTTTTCAATGAGGAAACTGGCTTAGATATGCTAGTGAGTTACTGAATATTTCAAAACCAAGTTTTCCCATTGTTTTGTTGAACTGTGAAATGTTAGAAATGTGAACAACTTTGAGGTTCAGAACTATATTTAAAGTCTAATTCTGGCTCCAGGTAAATAGCTTTAAGTCTTGAATTGAGTTATAATAGTGATTTTTCAACTTGTATTGCATTAGAGTCAGGGAAGGGATGGCTCACCTGGTTCTGAAAGCAAAGTTGTAATTTAATGTATTGCTTTCTTTAGAGTAATGATATTTAACTTAATTTGAGTAAATATTAAAGGAAAGTGTGAGATTTTTGTTTATCTGATCCATGAACTATTTATCCTGTTATATAAGATGAATCTTGCTTTTATGTGACATTGAAAGGTAGCTAATACTTATTTTAGTAAAAAAATAAAATTGCGTATGAGAATCTAACTTAAAAGTAAGACAAGTAAGCTTCTTATAAGCTAAGTTACTGCCTAAATATAAAAACCTTATATTCTATTTGTGTAATTTTTTTCTTTTGTATACTAAATATACAAATATACCATAGCCATATAGAATATAATTAAAAAAGAGAAAATTTACCCAGTTTCCTCACTTAAATGTTATCAGTTGTCTTCATTTTTGCTCTTACTTATTTATACATAGTTTCTTAGTCTCTGTACATGCAGTTTTAAATAATGCTATAATGAATATCTTCATGAATATATCTTTTAAGAAAAACTTTCCAGATATATTCCTAGAAATAGGATTGCTTTGTCAGAAAAGTAGCAACATTTTTATGACTCTTTATTTAAATTGCTTAATTGCTTTCTGGAAGGATTATATCATCACTTTATATAGATATTAGTAGTATAAAGAGTTGACTTCATTTTTGGTACTTTAGTTAACAATACTTCATCAACTTTGGTACATTATTTAACATTTCCTCCCTCAAATTTCACAAGTGACGTGGTGAGGGTGTATTGATTCAGTTTTTTTTTTTTTTAAATTATTTATTTATTTATTTATTTATGGCTGTGTTGGGTCTTCGTTTCTGTGCGAGGGCTTTCTCTAATTGAGGCAAGAGGGGGCCACCCTTCATCGCGGTGCATGGGCCTCTCACTGTTGTGGCCTCTCCCGTTGCGGAGCACAGGCTCCGGACGTGCAGACTTAGCGGCCATGGCTCACGGGCCCAGCCACTCCGCGGCATGTGGGATCTTCGTGCACTGGGGCACGAACCTGTGTCCCCTGTATCAGCAGGCGGACTCTCAACCACTGCGCCACTAGGGATGCCCTTAAATTTTTACATAGTTAAAAAAATTACTGTATTGAATTTCATCCATTGTGCCATTATGTTAGAAATAATTTTCTTTGAATTTAAACCTGTAGAAATGGGACGCCGGTCATCTGATACTGAAGAAGAAAGCAGAAGCAAGAGAAAAAAGAAACACCGTAGACGGTCTTCTTCAAGTAGTTCTTCAGATAGTAGAACATATAGCCGAAAGAAAGCTGGAAGGAAATCAAGGTCAAAGTCAAGATCTTGGTCCAGAGATCTTCAGCCTCGCTCACATTCTTATGATAGAAGGTGATTTTCATAATTTTACTTATGTAGTAGTGAGAGTAACATTCTTTAGAGTTCGTATGTTTCTGTGCTTTTAATTTTTCTGGGTAAAACACTTTTCTTTTTGTAGTTATATATTTATGAGTCTCAATCCCCAAAGGGTTTTGTTTTGTTTTGTTTTCCCCCAGGCCCAGCGCATGAGTCTTCATCCTTTGTGTATTCTTTGTAGACGGGAAGATACAAACTGGTATAGTTCTCATACCATATTAGTATCTGATAATATTTGGGAGGCAAGTAATATTTGATTATATTTTATTTCAGACGCAGGCATCGATCGAGCAGTAGCTCTTCTTATGGCTCTAGAAGAAAACGAAGTCGAAGTCGTTCAAGGGGTCGAGGGAAATCCTATAGAGTTCAGAGGTCTAGGTCAAAAAGCAGAACAAGAAGGTATGCCATATCAGATATTTATTGCTTTGTAACACACTATCCCCAAATTTAGTGACTTAAAGCAATAATCATTTTTTTTTTTCATAATTTACAGTTTTGACTGAGCTTAGCTAGCAGTTCTTCTGCTAGTCTCATCTGGGGTCGCTTATGTGGTTCTAGTTATCTGATAGCTTGACTGAAACTGGATGGTCCAATGTGGTGTCATACAGTATCTGGCATTTGGTGCTGGCTATTGGCTGTTGGCTGGGGGGTTCCTTAGTTTCCCTGTCGCTTCTCATCCTCCAGTAGGAATGGCTGGGCTTTTTCACATGATAGAGGAAGTATTTCAAGAAGAACAGAAGTTGCAAAATCTCTTAAGGTCTAGCCTCAGAAATAACCCAGTGTGTTATGGAGTGAATGTTTGTGTCCCCCCTAAATTCATATGTTGAAGTCCCAAGCCCCAGTGAAATTGTATTTGGAGATAGTGTCTTTATGGAGCTAATTAAAGTTAAATAAGGTCAAAAGGGTGAGGTCCTAATCCAATAAGGCTAGTGGCCTTATAAGAAGAGAGAGAGAGACCTTTCTCTCTCTTTGAGCACGCACTCAGAGGAAAGGCCATGTGAGGACACAGTGAAAAAGTTGCCATCTATAAACCAGGAAGAGAGCTCTTATCAGGAACCAGTCAGCTGGCATATTGATCTTTGACTTTACAACCTCTGTGAGAAATATGTTTCTGTTGTTTAAGCTGCCCAGTCTATGGTATTTTGTTATAGGAGCCTGAGCAGACGTGATGTCACTCCACCTGCATTTTCTGGCTGTGCTCAAGGGCAAATAATACAGAGCATAGCCTATCTGGAGAGAGTTGTACGTTTTGGATAATGCTAGAAAATATGGTTGAATCGGATGGGGACCATGGTATGGAGGGACTTGATAGAAGCAGGTATTCAGAAATTATTGAAGGCTTTTGAGAAGAAGAGTGCTAGGATAAAAACAGCATTTTAGGAAGATCAGTTTCTTTTCTCTGTTTAGTTTTTCATTCTATTAGGCTCTAGTTGTGGGGGTATATTAGCAGCCTGATTTTATTATCTGGGCATAAAATTCTATAAATCTCTCTGAATCTGAAGTTGGATAATAGCAGTAAGTCCAAATGTTTAACTTTTCTGGCCTTGTATTATTTGGCCTCAGCCTCCTCTCCTTTGTACACACACAACATACACACAAGCCATTCTGTGTTACATGCCTTTTGTTCTCCATCTATGTCTCTGAGTTGCTAGCTTTGTTTCTTTGAGCGTGCTCTTTCTTCCAGTTTCTTATATTATGTCTACTTTGAGAAGTTTTCCTACCCTTTAGTGTTCAGTTCTATTTAATCTCTAATTTTCTTCTTCCTTAAATCCTTTTTTGATTTTTACCTTTTCACTCCCAAGTCAAATTTAATCCATCCTTTCTCTGGCCCACCATCACATTTGATTCCAACTGATAACAGTTACATTGTGAATATTATGTTTTTGTTATTCTCATATACTGTAAACTCTTGCAGGGCAATCTCTTGGTACCTAACATAATGCCTTGCTTGTAGAAGCTGATTACCAGAAAACAACTTCAGTTGAAAATTTCCTGTCAGTGAGAATAGAAATAATAATCCATGCTTTTGTATGGTCTTTTACATTTTGTAGAGTATTTTCATACACACTTTCAGTCAATGACATTTTGATTAGGAAAATACAAGTCACTCAATTCCAAGCATCAAGGTTTTAAGATGGGGAATTAAAGGCTTATGTAACCTTTGGAGGGGCTCAGGGAATTAGGGAAGCTGTTACTGATTATTTTAGCCTAAGCGTGGAAGCTGCTTCTTTGCTTAGAAGTCACTGTAAATCTTACGAACTCTGGGTTTGTAGCACCAAAGTGTGTGGTTCTCAAGAAACTACTTACCAGGAAGCTGCTTCTCTACCCAAGTATCTACCTATTATTTCCTCCAGAGGGGAATCTGGAGATGGTAATTTCTTCTCTTTTGCAGTGCAAGGAAGACTTTAAAAGGAATTGCAGTGGACATCTAATCAGCAACAAATTATCCAGCACATATGCATTTTACTAAATGTTTTGAGTTTTGTAACTGTCAGGCTGTCATGCAGGGTAATACCTTCATTTTGTATATGAGAAAGGAAGTTCAGAGGTTTATTCAAAACAGCAATTTCTCAGCCTCTTGCATTGACACTTCTGCATTTAACTGCAATAACTAAATAATCTGGAGACACTGCAAAGTCCTAAATTTTGAGAAAATACTTTATCCATGTTTTATACACAACATTATTTTGGTAATGTATTTTAGGAATTTATTCTTCAAGATGTTTAAACTAAATGAGTTTCTAGGTTAATCTTGGTTTAAGAAGAAAATTGAACAACTCATTCTTTGAACAGTTTAGTTAATTAAGACTTTAATTTAAATAAAGAAGCTGTAAGTACATTAGTTCCTTAATATGTGCAGGGGATTGATTCCAGGACCTGCTGCAGGTATCAAAATCTGAGGATTCTCAGGTCCCATGGTTAGCCTTCCGTATCCACGGTTCCGCATCTACATATCCAACCAACTGTGGATCGTGTAGTATTGTAGTGTTTTCTTTAAAGTTTTTATTTATTTATTTATTTTTGACTGTGTTGGGTCTTTGTTATTGTGCGTGGTCTTTCTCTAGTTGCGGAGAGCGGAGGCTACTCTTCATGTGGTTTGTGGGTTTCTTTTTGCTGTGGCTTCTCTTGTTGCAGAGCATGGGCTCTAGGTGCATGGGTTCAGTAATTGTGGCTCGCATTCTCAGTAGTTGTCGCTTGCACGCTCTAGAGCACAGGCTCAATAGTTGTGGTGCATGGGCTTATTTGCTCCATGGCATGTGGAGTCTTCCCGGACCAGTGCTTGAACCAATGTCCCCTGCATTGGCAGGCGGATTCTTAACACTGCACCACCAGGGACGTCCCTATTTTTTAGTTTTTATTTTACATTGGCGTATACTTTTATTTATTTTATTTTTTTGTTTTTTAATTTTATTTTTGGCTGCATTGGGTCTTCATTGTTGAGAGCATAGTTGTGGCGAGCAGGGGATACTCTTCGTTGCTGTGCGTGGGCTTCTCATTGTGGTGGCTTTTGTTGCAGAGCACGGGCTCCAGGTGTGCGGGCTTCAGTAGTTGTGTCACGTGGGCTCAGTAGTTGTGGCTCACGGGCTGTAGAGTGCAGGCTCAGTAGTTGTAGCGCACGGGCTTAGTTGCTCCGTGGCATGTGGGATATTCCCGGACCAGGGCTCGAACCCGTGTCCCCTGCATTGGCAGGTGGATTCTTTTCTTTAAAATTCTATTTATTTATTTATGGCTGTGTTGGGTCTTCGTTTCTGTGCGAGGGCTTTCTCTAGTTGTGGCAAGCGGGGGCCACTCTTCATCGCGGTGCGTGGGCTTCTCACAATCGCAGCCTCTCTTGTTGTGGAGCACAGGCTCCAGACGCGCAGGCTCAGTAATTGTGGCTCATGGACGTAGTTGCTCCGCGGCATGTGGGATCTTCCCAAACCAGGGCTTGAACCCGTGTCGTCTGCATTGGCAGGCAGATTCTCAACTACTGTGCCACCAGGGAAGCCCAGCAGGTGGATTCTTAACCACTGCTTCACCAGGGAAGCCCTTGGAGTATAGTTGATGGACAACGTTGTGTTAGTTTCAGGTGTACAGCAAAGTGATTCAGTTATACGTATACATGTATCTATTCTTTCTCAAATTCTTTTCCCATTTAGGTTGTTATATAATATCGAGCAGAGTTTCCTGTGCTGTACAGTAGGTCCTTGTTGGTTATCCATTTTAAATATAGCAGTGTGTACATGTCAGTCCCAAACTTCCTAACTATCCCTTCCCCCCACCTTTTCCCTGGTAACCATAAGTTCAGTACTGCAGTATTTATTGAAAAAAAATCCACGTATAAATGGACCCTCACAGTTCAAACCCATGTTGTTCAAGGGTTAACTGTAGTGAGTTTTTCAAAGAAAAAGTACTATGTCATTCTAAATTTACAGGTACATTGTTAATGATCTCTGTGCTTTGTAATAGAAAAGAGTGATTTCAGTCATGCAAAGTCAAATACTTTCACAAAACTTTGTTGTTACATGTCTAAAAAACAAGATGAAGCATGTTTTGAGGGATGGCAGAAGGAGGGAAATCAAATGTGTGAAGTTGCTGCAAGTTCTGTGGATAAGTTATAGAGTAATTTGATGATTATACTTTTTAGTATAGTTTCTATTTCTTCTTGAAGTACTCAAGTTGTGACATGTATCCTGTCACTTCCTTTTACAACAGTAAGAAACCTACTATTATTCACAGTACATTTACTTATTTCCTCAATTCTAGGATACACAGAAAGTAGTTACAAAATTGCTGATATGTACCACTTTGAAAAACAAACTTATAGAGTCAGATATTTTTTATGGTTCTTTTTATCTTTACTCTGGGGTATTTGGTTCCCCTCTCCACTTTATTATGGTTAGTTCTTTTGAAGGTTAGTTTCATTTGTTTCTGTTTATATTTCATTTTAAGTTTTTTTATCCCCTAAGTTTTTAAATTGTATTTACTTTTTGGTCCCCCTGCCTTTATTTTAGTATATGAAACATTAACATGGTTCCAAAAGACAGCACTGTAAAAGGTGTGCATGGAGAAGTATCATGTCCCTTTATACCTTCTATCCTGTTCCTAACCACATCCTAGAACTAATCCTATTAGTTTGTGTTTTAGCTTTCCTCCGTTTCTTTTTAAACAAAGTAGTGGTTATATCTATGGCATACTATAGATACTCTTTGCACTTTGCTTTTTCTATTTACTAATATATCTTGGAAATCACTATATCAATTAATAATACTCTTACTCATTTTTTATAGCTGCTTATTGTACTTCGTTGTGTGAATGTATCATGATTTGTTTAGCCAGTTTCCTAGGTATGGATCTTAAAGACAGTGCCAAAATTTTACAGTTACTAAAAAGCTGTCATGAATAACCTGGTGCTTGAT